GTAATGCCTAAGGCATTTGACTGCTAACCAGAAGGTTGGTGGTTCAAACCCACCAGCCACTCCTCAGAAGGAAGCCTGGGCAATCTACTTCCATAAAGATTTATCACCTCAGAAACCCAATGGGAGTCACTATGAGTCGGAATTGACTCATGGCATTTAGTTTTTGAGAGTGAGGGACTACCATACTGACTGATGCTGCTAACATTTGATTTAGAGCCTGTTACAAACTCTAGTCAGTATGTTTCACAGAGGGTATGAAGATGCTAGTGAATCAGTTAAAAGGACTTCTACTCTAATGCTAGCTTTGTGTAAAAAAACAAGGAAGGAGCCTCAAGAGCCCATGACAGTGCAGAAATGAGAGGAGAAATTTAAAAAAAAATAAAAATTGAAGGAGAAGAAGGGAGGGGGTTGCAATTAATTATGAGTAATGGAATTAATTTGTTTAATCCCTTTCACCCTCCAAAACATTGAGGTAGGATTCAATTTTGTGTCCAGGCCTTTAGGGAATGAAGTGAAAACCAAAATTTTCTAATAAGGGACATTCCAACATATACATTGTCAGATTTAAAAGGAGCAGGAATATAGATAAGGCTTAGTTAGGATAAATATTCAACTTAATGGCTGAGAGACACACTGGCAAGGGAGATGATTAGCACAAAGGACTACTCTGCAGTGTGGACAGATTCTTCCTGGTTGTCTTGCCAGATCTGCAGCGGTCTTCCTGTTTATGATTCCCACTCAATCAATCAGATTTATTTGTGATTATTAAAAAAGCATGATCTTATCCAGAATAGTTCCATTTTGTAATCATCATCCTTGTCTGGCTTGCTATATTTCCCCAATGACATTTAAGAAATTGTTGTATAATCTTTCTGTTACATAAAACAATGATTATGGATCATTTTCTTTTAGAGATATAAATTCAGATATATAATTTTAACCGTCTTTCTTATTATGATTTTTAATATTTACCGATAAGGAAATGGCATAATAATACTTACTATTACCTATGAAAGGAGGTCTGGCGGTGCAGTGCCTAAGGCATTTGACCGCTAACCAGAAGGTTGGCAGTTCAAACCCACCAGCCGCTCCATCAAAGGAAAATGGGGCAATCTACTTCCATAAAGATTTAGCACCTTAGAATCCCAATGGGGGTCACTATGAGTAAGAATCAACTCAATGGCAGTGTGTTTTTATTACCTATGAAAAACTTTCTTTGATCCAGACAGATTTGAATGACATTCTTCTGGCATGAAGTTGAATAAAGATGTATAATTCACATATTATTTTTGCATGTGTGTGATCAGGTTTCATGATTTTTTTTAATTTTTTTTGTTTTATTGATATATAATTCACATACTACAAAATTCATCCTTTTAAAGTGTACAGTTCAGTGCTTTTTAGTATATTTGCACAACATCACTATCTAATTCTGGAACATTTCCATCACACTCAAAAGAAGCTCTATGAATTTATTCGTATAATATTTCAATGACCACTCTTTAAAACTATAAGTTCAATGGAGTAATTATCACAATGTCTTGTATAATCTAAGAACTAAGTAAGTCTTCTACTCTCTACAGCACCGCATTTTAGTGGTGAGATATTTAGGTTGATTTGAAAGGAAAATACCATTCTTATTAGAATGTGCATACTGACTCCTTCCATTTAGAGTGAGAGGTAATATGAAGAGTACAGATGAGGTCAGGGTAAGTAGTGGTTTAATCAACATAGTGTACCAGACAGAGAACTAACAACACCTCAGATCAAACAAGTCAAAACCACATGTATAGCCAAGTAAGTGATGCTGTCCTTGTGCACAGACATTACATTACACAAACTGTTCTCCTAAGTGAGGAAATTTGTCCCTTAGAAATTGCTCATTGGAACATTTGGACATCATGCATCATGTTAAAGATCCATAAATGTCATCTCAATAGGGTAGATATGATGCATGGTAATGTCCTTCCTATATCTGCATAGGGTTCTTCTACCCAACAGATTGTCATGATGCATTGCATTAGAGAATCCTGTTCTAGCGCTTCAGAGACAGGCAAGAAGCCCCATGGGAGCCTTCTTGAGTCATTGCTACAAGGACTAAAATATCAGGAGACCAGAAAGTCATTCTTGGGATTTGACAAATTATCCTATTCTCTAAATGAAGCTATTTGTTACATGTTTGGTGCAACATATGAGTGCAATATTTTATGATTGGGTATAACTTTTTATTATAAAAATAAAGATCCATTTCTAGTTGTGAAATGAATAGAATTTAGAATCATCCAATCCTATATTTTTCACTGTTACTTTATCAATCCAGCATTTCTTTGGAGAAAAGTATACTACAACAATAATATGCACTCTAGAGACCAAGAAATCTGGGTATGAATTCCAAGTCCATCGGTGATTATCTGTGGGGCCTTGGGCAAAATTTAACCTTTTCAAGTTCATTTGCTCATGTGTAAAATGAGAATTCTCTAACTATCAACCTCATAAGGTGGCTGTGTAGGAATAAGTTCGTGCCAACAGTTAACGCACTTGGCCGCTAACTGAAAGGGTGGTGGTTTGAGTCCACCCAGAGGCACCTCGGAAGACTTGGCAATCTACTTGTGAAAAATCAGTCATTGATAACCCGGCGGTGCACAAGTGCTACATTACACATGTGGGGTCACCGTGAGTCCAAGTCAACCTGACAGCAATGGTTTGGGCATGAATAGACCTTATCACAGCATTAAGTACCTAGGAAGTGCACAATAAATATTAGTTATTATTAGTCAGTAAGGAACAAATTTTCATGGTTGTAATGCCACTGTAACAGAACAAGAATCATGGACACAGAACCCTAAACAGTAGAAGATATTTTGTAGCTCCCATGTGTCTAAATCGCTTTGCTTTCAAATGTTCTCATCTTCCAACTTGCCCTTGACTGTTCCACACAGGCACTTCGAGGAGAAATTGCACCTCTTAAAGAGAATGTAAAGCACGTCAATGACCTTGCTCGCCAGCTCACCACATTGGGCATTCAGCTCTCACCATATAACCTCAGTACTCTGGAAGACCTGAACAGCAGATGGAAGCTTCTGCAGGTAGGCACATTGCCAGAGCGGTATTTCTCCTTGTTACAATAAAACAATGCACAGATAAAGCTTGTTTGGAGGGAACAATGCAAGTGTTCTCTTCATTTGATGTTTGCGATGATATTTTGAGAGGACTGGATAACTTAAACTCTTTAACAAGTCCCTATACAAATGCTTTCAAATCCAATAATATCCATTTCTGTAAATGGCTCAAAGGCAGACTTTAGTATGTTTTACAACAAACATGGAAGATAACGCTGAATCATGATAGAAGAACTGCATTATTGCCATAGTTACTTTTAACTATTCTTGCTTGGATTCTTAATATGTTTTTCCCTTTGGAATCTTAATGTAAACAGAAGTCAACAGTAAGACTTTGAAGAAAGAACATCTTATCACAAACCCACACATGGAAGTTTTCATAAGTTTGCAAAATAAATACAGTGAACTTAAGTGTATCCAAGGGCAATCCTAGTAGCTGTAGAGCCTTGAGGTAATTATTTAACCTTGCTACACCTCAGTTTTTCATCTGGATTAAAAAAAGGTGATAATAAAAGTCTCTACAACATCAGATGATTGTTAGGATGGATAATTCAAAATACTTGTAAGGTGCTTAGAACAGTACCTGTAACAGAGTAATTAAACATTTGATAAATTCTAGCTCTTGAAGTAAGGAGCTCTGGTAGCATAGTGCCTAAGTTACTTGACTGCTAACCCGGAAGGCTGGTGGTTCAAACCCACCTGGCCCCTCCTTGGAAGGAAGGTTGGGACATCTACTTCTGTAGTGATACCACCTTGGAAACCCAAGGAGGGGTCGCTATGAGTCAGGTCCGACTTGATGGCACATAACAACAACAACAGCTCTTGAAGTTACTACAGTTATTATTACTATAGCACACAGGTTTTGGAGTCAGATTTACTAGCTGAGTGACCTTGAGGTCACTTAATCTCTCTGATCATCAGGTTCCTCATCTACAGCAAGGTTGCTATAATATTAAATGAGATAATTTATACAGAGTTCTTCATAGAGTGCCTGGCTCATAGGAAGAACAAAAAAAAACATGGTCATGGTGGTGGAAGAAGTATGTCTATCCGTTCGCTATGTGCTAGACACTGCCTTACACCCTAGCACAAACACAGATCCATTTCAGGGTACCCACAGACAGGTTACCCTGTGGTTTGTGGATTTCTGAGTGTGCAGCCACCATTCTCTTGCCCATTGCAGTGATTTCCTAAGAGCCTGCAAAGGACGTTCTTGCCTAGAATGCTAGGAGGGCAAAATCAGAAGTTCGTAACTCCACTTGAGATTTTTCTCCTGAAAACTGGTTTAACATAGAATTCGGGAGTTATTTTCTCACCTCCACTTGCATCGTATATAAATAGTATGCTCCTGAAGACAGAGTGGAAACTGGCTGTGAAAATATTTTCATTCAATGTTTTAGTGAGGAAAAGAAGAAAAAGCCAAATTACTTTTTCTATTAGCAGTCCATTTAGGGGTGTGATTGAAACTCCTGTTCAAAAATTTTTTGATCTTTAATAAAAATAAGTTCCAAATTCAAGACCTCTTGTGATCTTATATAATTTAATTGTTGTTGTGATGAATAGATTTGGAATATTTGTATGACAGATTGTTATAAGTGGTAGGACCAAAACAAGGCAATATGCTTTTTTGCCTAAGGCACTTGACTGCTAACCAGAAGGCTGGCAGTTCAAACACACCAGCCACTCCTTGGAAGGAAGGTTGGGCAATCTACTTCTGAAAAGATAGTGCCTTGGAAACCCAAGGGGGGTCTCTATGGGTCGAAATGACTCGACAGCAGTGAATTTGGTTTTTTGGTTTTGGTATGTCTGTTTGTACCATAGTGGTTGAGTACTCTTAAAGTCTTTTCAGTTTCATCCCTAGTATCTTTTTCATTTTAAGCATAAATAACAAAAGTAATAAATGTCCGAATAAAACCAGTGGCCACATTTGTTCCATTTAAGCACTCTTGAACTATGTCTTTAAAATTTCTTTGGAGGGCTAAGGGCACATTTGTTTTCAGAAGGAGGTACAAGGTTTGTGAATATGGCATGTAGATTTACAAATGAAACCAAAAATGATGACTGATAGAAAAAGTAAAAAATAAATAAAATGCTAAATGATCCATTCTAGTTACACTATTTGTTTAGATGTAAAGTATGAGAAGTATTAACAGCTTGATTTTCATCCAGTCTTTAAATTACTAAGGATTTGGTTATAACTGTAGCTACATGCAAGGAGATCATGTGATACAGTAAAAAGAGCTGGAGTGGATATTAAGAGGCTTAAAATCAAACTTAAACTCGGCTATTATTTGGTCACATTATCTTGGGAAAGCCATTTACCCTTACTCAGATTCAATTCCTTCATTTGTAAAATGACACAAGTATTGTAGATAATAGGGTCACATACAGTCCAATCTTTTGATCCTATGGCTGCACATCTGAGAGACATTCACATATCACAAAATTTAGTTTGGAATCAATGAAGTTGCTTCCTATATTTATAATATAGATGTGGCTTGTTGGACTTATAGTTATCCTTCCATAACTCTAACTTTTAAACCTCTCATCCTCAAACCCACATATACACATCCTCCTCATATTAAATATGCAAAAGTCAGTTCAATCTTTTTGTGGTATAGACTCTTAATATAGCAAATTTCATGTTTCCATTTTTGAACATGACCTTAAGGAATCACGCATAAGAAAGCTAATCAGTCTAAGATTTTGGATTGCACATGACTGAGTCAAATTGATTCCATTCTTTTATTTGACCATAACGCTAACCACTTCGCTATATTATAAATGTGTGTCTTGTTCTGAAAAGAAACAAAGCAAAATAATGGAGCTCACAGCAAATAATTTTGTACCCATTAATAGAAGAGTAACTCATACATCCTGTCTGAGAAATTTTACATTTAGGAGAATGTATTTGAGACAAAAGCATTATCCAGTGTCCATGGAGGGAAGCTTGATCCCACTCTCATTATGACATCATACATCTATAAAAACAACAATGCTATATCAGTTACTAAAAGCATGATAAAAATCAAGTGTGGGTTCATCTTTGGCTCTAAGGCAAATTAAGCTCCAGATATAGAGAGGTGGAATAGTGGGAAGGCAGATATACACATGTGGAAAGAAGATAAATTTTCAGGAGTAATAGAGTTACATACTACCAGGCTATGTCTATTTGGCATTACAATATCCTAGGTTTAGTTCCATGATGCATTAATTTTGATTTTAAATGATAGCCAAGCTGGGTTTTTTTTTTTTTTTTTTTTTTTTTTGCTGCATGTAATATTTCAGTCAAAATGGCAGAAATGGTAAACTGTGATGTGAACATCTACAGTTGAGTAGGAGCTCTGGTAGCGTAGTGCCTAAGGCACTTGACTGCTAACCAGAAGGCTGGCGGTTCAAACCCACCAGCCAATCCTACTTCTGTGGTGATACTGCCTCGGAAACCCAAGGAGTGGTCACTATGAGTCTATGAGTCGGGGCCGACTCGACGGCACATAACAACAACAACGACAACAACGTAGTTGAGTAAGATCCAATCACAATTTACCTTTACATAGGAATAGAGTGCATAGAGAGTTCCTGGTTTAGCTCTGGTAGCGTAGTGCCTAAGGCATTTAACTGCTAACCAGAAGGCTGGTGGTTCAAAGCCACCAGCCACTCCTCGGCAGAAATTGGGCAATCTACTTCCGTGGTGATACTGCCTCGGAAACCCAACGAGGGGTCGCCATGAGTCAGATCCGACTCGACAGCAGTCAGTTTGTTTTTTGGTTTTAGTAGAATATAAAGGAGCTCTGGTGGTGTAGTGCCTAAAGCATTTGCTTGCTAACCAGAAGGTTGGCAGTTCAAACCCACCAGCCACTCTGCAGAAGAAAGATGGGCAATACAATACACTGCTGTAAAGATTTACCACCTTAGAAACCCAATGGGGGTCTCTATGAGTCAGAATCAACTTGATGACAGTGAGTTTTTGTTTTTGTTTTTTTTGGTTCTAGTAGAATATAAGAGTCATTAGTTTGTTTGTTTGAAACTCTCTGTGGAAATAAAATCCTACTTCAACCTTCAGAGTGGACACATTGGTGTAGATGTTTCTACTTGAACATTTGATGGTGTGTTCATGGTGTGGGAAATCATCATTCCTTGCAGTAACAAAGAGTTTCATGTACAGACAACATTATGATTGGGTGTTATCATGATCCCTTTTACAAGTAAGGAAACTGAGCCTTAGAAACATTAAGTGACACAATCACAGTGACATAGCTTGTAAGTGTCGGTCAAGATCGCAATCGGATCTTCTGAACGGCAAACCTCTTACCCTTTTTTCCCCTCTTCTGAAAAATTACACATTGAACTTAACAAATCCATACTTTGAAGTGATTCAGGGCAATATACATATAAATTACTTCACTTTTTTCATTGCTGCACCCAACCATCCATCCACTCCCCCCCTCCGCTCTCCCCCCCATTTTAATCATTCTCAGGGATATTAACTTTGCAATCTTCCTTTTATAAACCAAGGAATTTGTGAGCCCAGTTCAGTGTACCCCTTAAAATTACACCTATAGTTTTAAATCTAAAATTATAAAGCATTATATTCCTCACAGTCTTTAAACATTAGCAGCTGTACTAAAATCAACCAAAAGTGACTTTAATGAATTAGCTCTTAAGCAGAACCAATGCTAATATTTGATCAAGTAGAAATGAATATCAAAACCAAATGAGAAGAAAGTTAAACTGATGATAAATCTTTCTAATTTTGAAGAAATACACATATTGAGTGTTGTAGTCATGTTATTTATTCGCCAGGCACAAGCGCTACATAAAGGAATGATCTAACCATTTCTCTGCACTAACGAGTAAACCCACAAATAACAGCAGAAGCTGCAAATACATTTTAATATAAAGAGTGCATGCTTTATTGACTGTAGGAATGTATGGAGTGTAATCACTTGAAAAAATACAAAGACATT